ATATCAAAACCATTAACCGTAGACATTCCTTTAGGTTCAGTTTTGGTTTATGTCTGCTCACTTTTTTGAATATACCTTGATTCGTGGTATGCATGCTTGTTTGCTTGTTTGCTTGTTTGCTTGTTTGCTTGTTTGCTTGTTTGCTTGTTTTAATCAGATTTTCTCCTGCGTTGTCTTATCATTTTGTGTGACTTGCTAATTTGTTTATTTGCATGGTCTTTGTTTGCTGGTCTGTTAGTAGACAGAATGCCAATTACTGCTTGTAGTGGTTCGGTAGCATAACACAGAATAACCTTCCCGTGACACAATTGTTATTGGAATCAGTCATTTCTCAACAGTCCAGGAAGCTGTCTTGGTCATGGATTTTATCAACACATACTAAACAACGGAAACACATAAATTTATTYACCTTTTTACTTTACCTTTTCTAAACTGAGAAGAGCTTTAATACATTTGAACATACATCATAATAACTAAGCAAAACTTGTCTCCTAGCTATATACATATGACTTAACATAAGTGTTCATCATACATAGTAGAATACAACCTCATCCAAGCAAATGAAAATTGCTTGGAATAGTTGTGAATTCCCCATTTCACCGACTACCAGGATTCTTCTCGTGGCTTTCATTACCTTGCGACTTGACTTGCCACTGACGTTTTTAACAATTGTCTTGGTAGTGAAAAAAACTCAAAGAAGACTCTGGTATTAGTGGCATAAGGCGTAATGAAGAGAATGATTAGTATTTATAATATCTTTTTTTGTGTGTGGCTACTCTACTTTGCATTCTGGGATGCAAGCAGATTTACAGAAATAAGGAATTAAGATTCTGGATGCAATAATAATCAACAAAATGTATACGTACACTGATTACTTATAATCATTTTCATCAAATAAAGAAATATATATATATTTCACATTCTTTGTTTTGTCGTTCTTGTTATTTTAAAGTAACTATTTTTTGGGTTTTAACTTAAAATGTATTCCCTTAACGTCCTTAACAACTTTTTTGTAAAAAGCCAGCAAGTTTTGATTTTGGTTACAGTTTATTTTATACGGCACAAAAAATCTGGCTCATTTCCAATTGCAATCTACAGTGCAGCTTTCAAAATTATCGGAAAATTAACACTGGGAAAAAAAATTTATCTCAATGGAATTTGTTCCATTTAAAAAGAAAATATATTTTTAATTTTGGGGGGTATTTTTCTGTTAGCCTCGCATCTAAGATGATTCTTAAAAGTATTTATACAGGTAGATTGCTGTTTCAAAGTACAAGTACGAACAAAGCCAATTGCTGGCTATGGGAATACAGAGCACCTAACGGGATTTATTAATGTTACGGCGGTATCTTGATCTCTAATCCTGCTGCACATGCGTAGTAATGTCATGCCACTGGCTTATATGTATATAATTTAGTTTACATCAATAATTATTATTTAATATAATTAACGTCATAACAAGTTTTTTTTTTTTCTTCTTATAGTGGTCAATATTCTCATCATCAAAAATCAATTTTTTGCTAAGTTTATATGCAATAGATCTAATTAAAATAACTATCATTTATGAATTTAGCATATGTTATAAATCTTGTCAATCTTTTTGCCTTTTGGCTTGATATTATACATAACAGTTAAGGTGATTATCTAGGCGCCATAGGGTGCATATGTTCCAAAGACATATATGGTCCACTTGGAGGAGAACAAAAGTACGGTGGGGCCTGGGGTGGGGGCATGAATGCCCCAGAATTGCTGGTTGACATGCCATTGTTCATGACAGAGTGTGATGGGAAATTTGAAAGACTGGGTCGCACTGATTCGTGTGCAGGGCTCCAGATATTTCCACTGCAGCTTGCATATCGACAGGGTGGTGGTGGAATTGGTTGTTGAAGATCCTTAGTTATTGGCGGGGATTTGGGCTTAGGCTTTGGCTTTTGTTCCCCTTTGGTCTGTTGTCTGGCTTTTGCCCGTCTATTTTTGAACCATACCTGGCAAGTGTAAAAGAAGGGGTTAGTTTCAATTCAATGTGTGGAGTACTGTTAAGACATACGTGGATCTAAATGCTCATTAAGAAGTGGTATTAGGAAGTAGGACTTAGTCTTAATCTTATTAGGTATTTGTTTTTCTTAGATCAGCTTGAAGTTGCTTTAAACAAATGGTTGGCTATTTGCTGACAGATCGACTTGATAAAAGCAGGGTTAGCCTGAGAATGGCATAAACGATTATATCAAGGGATGATCACTGGACCTAGCTACTTCCTATGGTTATAGATAAAGTGATAAAACAAGTACTGACGACGAAGAAAGAAAGACGACATAATGCTGATGTCATTTTTCGTCCTACTTGTAGCTGACAAAAGAAAATGAAATTTCTGTCCTATCATTGCACCTTCCCATTCACGTGCAGCTAACAAGACGACAAGACACACGATGAATGCTAATTATTGATATCACTATACTAATCAGCACTTAGCCTTTGATTTCAAAGAGCTGTCATTTCATTTTGCAAGTCGTTTTGTTTGGCCTTGTAGATATCTAACTAATCTCACATTCAGATCTATATTATCATGGAACGCACAGTAATTTTTCTTTCCATCATTTTATTTTCCACAAGAGCCTGAGTTAAGTGAGGGGAAATAAAAAGAAGCTTATGACCAATGCATGGATGATAAGGATGATTTCAAGTGGCATGTCCAGCCCACTGTCAGCAGGCTATTCTCACAAAACGGAAACCCACATTGYGGAATTAGATCAGTTCACGTCCAAAGCTTTGACAAGTTCTGTGTATCGCTCCATCAGACTGTGGCGTCAAGAAATACCTAATCGCTCATCCCAGATAGCATTAAAGCTCGATATAGTCGAAAATATTGTTAAATTGAAAGAAAATAATCAATAGGTTGGATTAACCGACTTAATTATGCGATAGGACGTTTTACGTAATGCATTTACAGTCATATAACTGGATTAAAAAGGTTTGATTGACACACTGTTGCAATAGCCTTCAAGCTACGTGTTCACTTTATGTCATTCTCTGGTATTTCAAATAACTGTTAGTAGTTTGTCCAAGTTTAAGAAGATAGCTAAGTTAGTTGCACTGTGTGTTTGCTGTGCTTCAAGTAATGGATAAAATACATTCGCTGTGGGTCGTGTTGGGGTGCAACTTTAGGATTCATGTGTACTTCATCACAGAGCATTTGCTTTTTATTCTCACATGACAAAGATAGTTTGGGTAAACGGAAAGATCAACATTCCTTGTTTGTTGTGCAGAAATAAAGATAAAGTGCTGTAAGATGTTCGAGATTATATTATCAGACCCTTTATCTATAGTTTATAAGTCGAAACTAATCTACTCGTAACTACCCGGGAGGGGTATACTTTATACGTTTAGTCTTGAATACCCTCTCTATATTTGCCCTCTTACTAAACCCTTAAATATTTCAAAAAAACATAAATAGCTCSATCATAAATCATCATAACTTGGTTTAACTTCAGAAATTATCTCCAAAAGACGACAAACAAGGTCTGTATCAAAGACTTAGTTCGTTACTATGAATGTATTAAAATATATACTATTAGACATTTTTTACATGTTTATTTTCGAAATCCTGATTGTATACACGCCCTGATAGCCATTAGGACTTAATTCCAATTATAAAAAAAGATCTCTCAGAAACGTTTCCGTCAGTCTTTGTAGCTATAACCCTCCCATTCATTATTTCTTAGATTCTTATCAATAAATCTCTAGAGCATTTGCCTTTTTTAAGAATCGATATCTGCTTGTATCTTGAGGTAGAAAAAAGCTCAGCTCCTTGACAACCACCTGCATGTTTCCTTTTACATCAAATCCTAATTACGGTATTTTCATACTCTTTCAATGCAAATGCTCTTTTGTACTTAGAAGAATCTGGTTTAGAGGTAAAAATACTTGGCCGAGACAGTAAACATGTCAATTTTCGATCTGTCAAGAAGGCTTTGGGTTTTTGAACTCGATCTGTGTTTTTACTTCATATGTAAACTTACTGTAAACTTAATGTAAATTAGTTTAGGGGAAGGCAAGACAAAATACTACTAGTAAGGCGCGGAAATGTAACGTTATTTTGTAAAGGAATTAAAGTTYTAAAAAGTTGGCCATTGTGAATAAAGAGTGGCATACTTTGGACGACTGAAATTTCAATCGTTATATTTAACAAACATTTTGCAAAAGAAAGCACAAAAATTCTTAAATTTATAAAAAAAGAAAAAAAATTATATTTTAAATTAGAGTCCTGGATCTGAAGTTACTAACGAAAACTGATTCAAAAACCTCAAACAAATGTCAAAATGTCAAAAAGGCTTTGCCTCATTTCGTTCGCTTTTCCTGATCCAATCACCTGTCGATGRGAGATATGAAAGTCAAAATGAACGTCTGCAAGGATCAAATCGTTTGTCCACTTTCCGTTTTTTTTTTAAATTAACTTTTTGATGCAAGACACTAGGTTTTATCGCAAAACCTCTCAGCTATGCCTGTACGTTCTAGAAAAAATGAATTATTATGGCTAAACCTAACGAAATAGCAATATCAAAATGACCTTTTTCCTCCTATTAACTTCAGTTTAGGTGTATTGACCAKGCATCAAGAAAAAATACCTCCAGCAAAAATTATAGCGTTGAATTCATCTTTTTGTGTGTTTTTATTTCTAATACTTAACAAGAGAGGTAAAGAAGATTTGGTTCACTTATTCATCGTCTTTCAGTAAGCTACAATAAAGAAAAAACACGCTCTTTAAAGTAATTAGAATCACATAAACCTTCGATTGACAGCAGGAATCGCTTTACTAAGGGAATGGGTTTCACTTCGTAAGTTTCTTTGTTTTTCTCTGCMACTAAATTGATTAATTTTCACATTAAAAAGGGCAATACCTTTGTTTCTTCTTGGACAATTAAAAAATTAGCTTCATCAACGTCTTGGATATTTGCCACAATATCCGTTGAGACGAGATTAACTTAAAACCCTGATTCCTAGTTTTAGCGGGGGAAGGACAACACCCAATTACCATCGAAGTAGCTGCAGATGAAAAAGTGCTATCGAAGAAAAAAAATACCCCTCACAGTAACATAGAAGAGTTAAACCTTACCTGTACTCTAGATTCGGGGAGATTTATCTTCATGGCAACATCTTCTCTCATAAAGATGTCTGGGTAGCGAGTTTTGGAGAACAGTTCTTCGAGAATTTCGAGTTGATTTTTTGTGAATGTCGTACGTTCCCTTCGTTGTTTTCTTGGATATCCTGCACAAAACCAAAAATCCGTTAAAAAAAAAATTATCGCAATTTGATGATAAGAATACAGAGAATTATGTCGATCGAGTTATTCGATATAATTTTCTTATTGTCAAGCAATCACACGCCAAAAAAGCAAAAATCTTACATTTTATGACTGAAAAATATATGTCAATAGCATACTTGTATGCGCTTCTCCCTATTTATTGATATACCYTCTCGTCTATGAAACTCTCTCCAATCTTTCAACAATAAATGTTGAAAGACATAAACAAACAATCAAAAACTGAAACATACTGGGAAAATAGAAAATTAATTCTCAATTCATTGTAACATTTCCCATTTTCTTCTTTCCTGGATTTAAAGTTAAATATTTTTATTCTATTTTTTTCCAAAAAAACCTTACTYGCTTTTTGTCAGCTATTATTTTTCTCTATTAACCTTCTTTTCCTTTCTTCGCCTATACTTTGATGAGTTTTTATGTGTGTCGACTTCCTTTTTATTACAGTTGATTGAATGTTACCTTCCATTGTGTATTCTAACATGATGAAGTTAAAAACACAAATTGGAGCATCATGATTATGATGTTGGCCAAAAGGGCTTGTGATAGAGCCTGTGTTCCTCTAACATATTACATTTCAAAATAATAAAAAAGACCTTCAATTTCTTTAAATATTTTTAAAAGAAAAAATATTCAAGATAACATTTCATTCGGTTTCTCGACAGCCTAGGTACACAAAACCTTTCTGTAGACTCGTAAAGTTAACAAGAACTTCAGTAAATACGACAAAAATAACAATACTGAAAGATCCCTCATTTTGGTTCATAAACGTTTGATTTGAAAAAAGCTATAGTAATACAGAGAGTTTGCTTTTCGTAATACCATCGTCGGGAAAACCTTTCTAAAGGATGATTACTTCCTCTTGTTTTTCAACTGCTAAATAAACTCAAATGAAGTTTTCTTTCTCGAAGTGTTTATTGGACAAACACAAACATACCAATGACATACACATCACTTTTGTTTGAACTTGGACTGTTTCATGCATTTTCGTTCAAACAAGAAAACCCAAAGTTCTAATTTCCTGAAAAATCTAGCTTTCTATTTTTAAACATGGATGAGTTGTATTGAGAATAATTCAGTTTTATTTTTTTCCTATTTCTAAAACCAAATTCCTGTCATTGAAAGCATTTTTTCGGTGAATTCTTATAAATGATTTTTYCCCCGAAGCTAGAAGATTCCGGATCTTGGCCAGTTCTTAATGAAGTCCATTTTTTTGTTAGTCCAAGTATCTCTTATGCTATAGATTTTCTTACTCTAATTTACTGACTTCAGTTCCGCAAGGAGAATTAAGGGCAAACCACAAAWCGGCTAGTAGAAGTCATAAACGATGTCTCAAAGCCAGAAAGACACGTTGGCCGGATAACAGCACTTCAAAGTTTATTCTTGTTCATTGCAATCAAAGAAATRAAAATATTTACCAGAGGAATGCTATAAAAATTATGTTGCAATAAGAAGAAAATTTAAAGAAAATGAGACAGCAAATTTCTATTTCCTTTTGTCATTTAACTAGTGATTGTTTTCGTCTTCAAGCAAAATGGATAACTAAGCCCTTGAGCGATGTGTTTGTTTTCTTAAAGCGTTCCGTTTTTCAGGCAARTTGCTTTGATAATAACACAGCAAGAGCTTGTTCTGGTGGTATCTTGTCAGWGCACGAACCACAATTCTACCTTTCATCAATTCTTATTTCAATTTACAAAATCACTGCTCAAGTTTTTAAAAATCATATTAAAATTATCGTTGTAAGGGTTAAACATGAGTTGCTTGAGTACGAGGAAAAATGATGCAAATCGAAGTAGCCTAAAACAACGGGACCAGYCATTACATGCGTCCTGCTGCCCGTAATCAATGTGGCTGTTTCGCTCCCTGCTGCTAAATTTAGACCATTTCAATACTTTATAAGCATTTAGTGATTATAGCTTTTTAAAAGTAAAAATAACTACTTTATTTCAAGAAAAAGTSTTGAAAACTCCAAGAAAAACCCCTAGGAAACCCTTGAATTCAGTGCATGCGAAAATCTCAGTAGAACTGTTCCTCGGCTTGCTTCTATCCCCAGGGAATGACGCCTTCAGTTAAATATAATTTTGACAAAACGTGGCGTTTAGTTCTATAATGGGCTCTAAAAGAAGTAACTCTTTTTAATATATTTGCTTAATTTTATTAGCAACACAATACATGGAGTTTATTTCGCTCCGTCTGCAGACTTGAATTGGACCTTTGACGAAGATCCTATGATACACTTGWTAATTTTTTTTACATGAAATGGTTCGCCCCTAGTTTATATAGGTTAATTAACTAGGATAAAATAGCAGTGTTCTCATGCGAAACCAAAAACTTTTCAACCATTTGAGCTTTCTATCTCCTTAGTATTGATCGAAAAACCAATCTTTCGTGAGACCGAAAATTAAAGGACCTACAGAGCAAAGCCTTAAAGGCTTGCTTCCAAGAATTCATAATGTAATTGAAATCTTCCAAGCGTTTAAAGTTCGATTAAAAGAAATATATTGTTGCGTTTAAGGTGATATAGTGTTCAKTTGAACATATTTGGTTACTTCAGTTTTATTTATTTTTGCTTTCAAGATCTACTTCTTTGTTGGGAAAGTATGCTTGTACAATAAAATACAATGTACATTCTTTGGTCCTGTAATATCAGCTTTCCTTCACAAACGACATAAACCGTTTTTATTCTCTTCTGGATTCCTAATAATTCCTTAAAGTTTTTGAAATTTTTTTCTGCAACCTAAGYCTTCGATACAGATTTTGATATTTTTAAGCAAGGGATTTATGCTTATCCTCCACTACTCAACCCTTCTTAAAGCTAAACCCTTTCCTGTCGCCCCAAACAACATGGTACATCATTTCACACACAAAATAACAATGCACGATAGCCCTACCATAAGACGGCCCTGCTACCATTGGATTGAACATATCGGCAGCAGATCTTGGAGGAAGATTCAAACCTCCTAATGGACAGCCAGGGTAATTGTTGAGGAAGCCAGCCATGTTGTATTCTCTGTGATACCAAGTCAGCAACAGTTCTAAATTAAGTCGAAAATACAGTGCGTTACTAGGCATACATTGTCCATGTCAGTTGTCCACCAGTTAGCCCACACCCCCCATGGCTTATAAATATATCCTTATTAAAACAATTGGGGCCGTGTAGAAATCTTTTTGATAAGTCACCTTTTACTCAATGAGGGTAAGCCAAACAGACACCTAAGTGGGATTTGTCCTCTTTTAGTCTTGATAAAAAACTGAGCTGGTTTACTGCAGTCTAGGGTTTCGTCTACGTCTTTCTGCCACTCAGAGTGCAACTGAATGACTGTCGTAAGCTGACGAGCTGTTCTAGTCCCGCTCCAACTAAGAACAATAACAAAGCTCTGTGAAGTGGCACTGATTCTGTATCCCGTTAATGAATAAATCTTTTCGGCACGTGCGTTTTATATACTAAAACGGACACCTTTATGAACTCGTTAACGTGGAAGTGTAATTTTTCTCGGCCAGATATTCGAAGGCGGCAAAGGCCTTTTTTTGTTAGTTGCCTAGTATTCCACAATTAACTGAAAAAATACTGATTTGGGCGTTCCGTTTAGAACCGCTTGACTGCATATGACTATTTGTTCTTTATAAAGAAAAAAAATTACCTCGGAGTTTCAAATAAAGCAATGTGGGAGGTCAGTGGAGCATTATTGTCATGCATGTAAAGGAAGCCGCAAGAACATCAAGAGAAATATCCCGTTCGGGATTAGAAGTGACATAGTAGTCACGTCAGTGACTGTTAGACAAAAACCCAAAACACACTATAGAACACCATTCATTTACCCTCGATGATTATTCAAGTTGGCTTTTAAATTGAATCTCGCTCGAGTTGGCAGATCATTTTTTAATACGCCTTAATGAAGGCCTCAGAACTTTATATCCTTCGATTAGCTCGTTTCCGAGGGCGTAGACGATAATTGGAACACACTTTATAAGACTCAAGAATACACGTTCAACTAGTTTTCAAAAAGTAGACGAGGTTAAAGTTTCCGATTTTTGATTTTGCGTACATTTTGTGATGAACTGTACGTTGCTATRAATAATATTTTAAACTAATGCATTGTACAGATATGACGATACTTCTCTAGCAACAAACAACTAAAAGAAAGACAAACTATAGACATATGCTTCATAGTCTAAAAAAAATTTCATGATTATTTATTTCTTATTGCGAAAGTTAAGGGAGGAAAATCTAAAGTACGTCATACTCATGCTTAACAGGCTGGTATCGATTTTTGAAGCACTTTTTCAACAACTCTGCAACTCTGTCAATAAAAATGGGGATGTTAAACTTWCTCACTGTCTTTCAGATGTCGTTAAACGTTTATTTACTTTGCCACTACWTTAAATTTCCTCCTTGATTTGTAGAGCCGAGTGTTTATTTGCTTCTCAATGAAGATGGTGCTCTTTGTTCACGGAAATCAAATCTTYATTAAACAGTCTTTGATAACTGAACAACAAAAGTGATGGCCTCATTATTCAATTTAACCTCTTTTCAGCCACACATTTAGGTCTTTGTTTTATATATTATTGATTTTTTTTTTGCGCTGTTACTTAATAAAACGTTAATAGCACTTCTGGTTTTCAAAAGAAGCCGTCATACTARCGGTCCTACTCTACATCTGAAAACTAAAAAATTTAGTTCCATCGTAAAGAAAACGTGTGAAGCGAGAATATGTTTGTCAGAGATGGAGTGTGTCAGTGCTAATTAAAAACGATTGTCTATGACAGGAGATGRAACTTAAGTCTAAATATCCCAATAAATACTTCCGTGAATTTCCAATAAATTTCGATCTTCCATTATGTTTCTTTCGCTTGAATCATGACAAAAATGTSTTTTAAATGTGTCATTAATGGGAATTTTGGAATCAATCTGCAAACAAATCAATGGAAATTGACGGTTTTTGAAACAAATCTGGGTTCTCAATATCAGCACAACACAGAAAATAGAGCCTCGCAAAATTAGAAAAAAATAAAAAAKTATCCGAATATTGTCCATCTTGATTATCTCAAAACAATTGCTGATGCTGGAACCTCAATTCTGTAAATATACCCCTGCGTTCAGTGTTCACATACAGCACATGGACAACTGGTAATGAATGTTGCTACTGGCTTTCGTAAGGTGTGGTATACAGACCGATTCAGATGTAGGTCTTCAGGCTTTATAATGTTGATTTAAAGAGAATTACAGAATTTCTTCCCGTTTTACTTCACATACTTGCCTTTGTCTTAAAAGTTACTTCTAAATTTTCTATAAGAATTAGTCAACCGCAATTGTAAGAGGTTCTTGATCTAGGTGAGATATCTTTACTAAGTGTGGTTCTGTTGCATTGAATTGGCTTTGCCACAACTTCTTATATATGTGATAGACTCTTTCCTGTCCGAATTTACCAAGGAGCCTTCATGAAGCGGAAGTGGTAGTGGAATGCCGGATAGCTTGCTGTTTTAACTAGCCTTCGCCAAACAGCAAGAACTATTCAGAAACCACATGCAAAGATGAGCCAGTCACGAATTCTTAGGATGTCCCAAATGGAAATACTTTGCGTATAGAATAGTTGTACTACTCTCAGTACTGTCGACTAGTTATGACCTTCTAACACTATTGTTCCCAAAAAATATTAAATGATATAAGGAATGAATACATGAGACACTGCAATTCAAATATATTTCTTGGAGTTGAATTGGAGATGAACGATTTTGACGTTAAAAACGCTCAGWGTAATATCGCTCAGATGCAATAAACTTTGCGTCCATGGTAATTGTTTCAACATGTACAGACACTTAAATCCAGAAGATCTCTTTTTATCTTTCAAAAAACAATATAATCCACCACAAAAATTGGAAAAGGTTTGAGGTTTTTCTAGAGAAGAAGAGCTACAAAGTTTTGTAAGCGAAGCCAATTCAAAAAGATGAATTTGTMCTCGCAGATCGATCTGCTGCTTGTTGAGGGTGTTATTGACTAGATATTATTAGAACAATAAGAGACTGTGTATAATTATCTGAATATTATATTAAACCCTTTAGAAATTTACCGTGTCTGAATATGCTGTTGGCCTTTTGGGCAAACTCGTGAAAACTACAATCGCATCCATGCTACAACAAAATYAGTCATGCCTACTTCTGTATCAGCTTCTATAATGAGGCGGTTAATTTGCGATAATGGACATCTGTAGATGCACTTCTTCAAAAAAATTTACAGCAATGAAATTGTTTTTTTAAGAGCTTTAAAACCGCAGTTGACGGGTGAGATGAACAAAAGAGAATATATTTACCTGGTTTGATTCCCTGTCTTGGCGTTGATGGATCATGAAGTGCAAAATGAAGACAAATTTGTGGTAGAAACTGATCACTTAAGGATCCGATCAAATCAAAAACAACCCAGCTGCCGATACGCAATTCAACAAAACAGTTAATTTTATAGTTGCTTGTCCATCCTTTTACCAAAAAGAGAAAGGTTCGAACATTTGAGGTAAATTGTGTTTTAAAATTGGTTCAGTTATTATCGGTTATCYTGAAAGAATGCGATTTGCATGGCTCGTGATGCATTCAATAGTGATACCAACGCGAGTTCTCGTTGAGGCAACGCAGACAACAGAGAACCGACAAGGTATGTGAACTTTTGGTTAAAACGCTTAGGCCTAAGACCGTGTTGCTAAAGATTTCATTCAATCTAAACGTATTAGATGCTGTTTTCGTGCATTATCCATCGTTATAGAGTTTGTAATTCGTTTTTAATTCCATCCGTCTAATCCTTGTCCTATGCTTTCCTTGGCTTCAGTTCTCGCGTTTCACTTCTGTAAAACCACGTCCACTGACATGAACAGAGCAAGCGACAAACGACTTCACGCGAAAGTAAAAAAAAAATTACCTTTTTTTTCTATGATTCTTTCAGTCGTGCTGAGTCAAAGGGGAACGCTCACGTTCATGTTATTTAATGTGCGTCAACTGATGAAGTGCTATACCTACCAACAGRTCATGTAATACGATATCTTTGGTGCAAACAGTACAGAGAAGAAATACACACATTCTCCTGATACTCTCCTAAAATTAATCATTGCTATGCTTTTTTAATCGAGTATRATTAAGAAATCATAGTTAACATTTTTCTCCAGAATTGGCGTTGTTGATTACACTTTCATTTTTCTTTTTTTTCTTTAACTTCAATAAAAATGAAAATAAATTTCGGAACCCTTTTCTTAACAGGAAGGCCTATTCCCAATTTCATTTACTGATCTGAACTGGGTTACTTTATTTTAATCCAGAACTTAGACTTGATATGTATTTTTTTCTTTAACTGCCTGAAACAATTTGGAAGAAAGAAAAAAAAACGGATGAAATCTTTATATATATGAAATAAAATGAAATAAAATWAATATTCCTTGTTTTACGAGGGTAGCACTTATAATATCCAGTGGATAACGAACTTGTGGCCCTCATTTTATGATCGAATTTGACTTTAAGAGTTGATWTTTGTGTAGGGAGGAAAACAATTTCTCAGTTGCTAGTTTCCGTATGAAGATGAAAATCAAAAACGACTAAATTTGGTAGTGGGTCTACRAGGCACTGCACAAATTGTGACAGAAATAAGCACATAGCTAGCTCAAATTTTTTTAAACATCTTTTTCGATAGGTTTTGCTGCTARTTATGCTCCATTATGGAAATGTAAACGTTCAGCTAGAATCAAAATGCGAAATTTTACTTTTGCCGTTCGTTAATTACCTATACAACTTTAAAATTCTGCTGTTAAACTACGTTGTCTTGCATTGGACCAGCTAATTGGTTTTTCTTAAAAAGCTACAGTGTTAGCTAGATAAACATTGTGACTCAYAGAAATCTACCGAGAAAATCGATCATATTAAACTATTCAACGTGCTGTTCTTCTTGCACATGAGAAAAAAAATTCAAGTTATAACTAACACTTTCTGTGCACTGGAAGCTTTCTGTGTACCTAAGGTGTTCTCAGCACATTTAGCTTAGTAATGCTAAAACCGAATAAAC